GCGGATCCATAGTCCGCCAATTCTCGTCAGTTAGAGGCGGGATCTCGTCTTCGACCGCCTAAGTTTTATGCGGGGCTTATTCTTGACCGCCTCGGTAACACTTGACGTGGCACGAACTTGAGTCTAATCATTCGCCTGTTCAGGGGAATGAAAACACTTTGTTCCCCCCCGTTTGATACAGTCATGCGGTTAGACTCAAATAATGGCATAGGTTGTAATATGAAGCTTAAAGTACAGACGCAGAGCGAACTGATAGAAATATGATTTTTAAAGCAAGTCCATCGGAAATTCCAATCAATTGAAGTTGACAAATCTAGGAGTTTGAGCCAAATTATGAAAAGATGGGGGACATCTAGCACTTCCCCTTATTCTATTTTACCTGTTTTGAAATATCAATGCAGCACATAAAGCTACGCACGGCTAAAGAAGCAGTGAATAATCTGCCGAACGTCTGATTGACATGAATGTTGCTAACCTTGTTTATCATCCGGCGCAGAGTGCAAAATAATTAATGGGAGTCTTCATCTTTTTGCATCCAGAACGTGTAAAATATTCGAAGTATTATCTGTGCATCGTTGGGATGCTCTTAGCTGTCGTCATCTCCTCCCCAGATTCTTTTTTCCCGTTACGCCTAGGAGCACTTCGTCGTTATTTTATTGTCCAGGTTCGCGATAAAATTATTTATTGGAAGTCTTCTATAAGTAATGATCGTATTGACGTAATTCTATAAAACATGGGCGTGGACGAGTCTTCGGTGGCTTCAGCGGTCTTGCTGGAGCATTCTGACTTCGCACATCTCACCTCGGTGGAGTAGCAGCCACTACATCGCCTCGCGGCGGTGTCTAATAAAAAATTATCAAGACGTCGCTGCAGAGCAGAGCGACGTTGGATGATCAGCAAGCCGCCATCCAAGATTTGGTGATGTGCGATCTCGCCGAAATGGAAAATAATGACTCCGTCACGCACTGTGAATTATGACACTATCAAGATGGAGACATCGAAATACTTTGGTGACGGTACGGATCGTCTCCTCCTCAATTGTTGGTTGTGCGAAGTTAATATTGCGACAGCATCAAAACTATTGACGCTCCGACGGCCAAGGTTTATTTCCTGCTGTCTCGGCTTTCCAGTAAAGCCAAATAATGGGCTCTTGGGAAGGATGTCGTAGAAGAGTCGGCGTTCTCTACGCTGGACGATATCTAGCGTGAATTACGACTGGCATTCGATTCTCCTTAAGATGAATCTCGCTTGCGTGCAGACTTCTTCTCAATCAGACAGGGCAAGCTGTTGATGCGGTTTACGTAAAGAAGACACGACATCTTGCTTCGTGTATCACCACGCAGCCTATTGGCATGGCTTCACAAGTTAATGTCTTCATGTTTGGTATGCCGGAGGGAATGGCGCGTTACTGCCTCAAAAGTGCTGAGGCGAAGTTATTCGAGGAGGCATTTTCCCTTGCGATTCGTGAAGATTCCACTGTTGCGTCGTCGCACTTGCACGCAGCGTCACAACGTCCACGGACGTTTGTCCCAGAGCCAATGCAATTCGACGCAATCGATTCTGCTCGTGGTTGCTGCAAATTATCAGGCCGCGACATTCGCAATCCTAACACAATGAAGTGTTTCCGCTGCGGCAAGATAGGCCATCATGCGGCTGTCTGAAGAGCACCAGCGCCGGTGACTATGAACACAGCTGTCTCACGAGAAGATGCTGTGTCGTCGGTGGTTCCGCCAAAAAATGAGCGGTTTTAGTAGGTGTGGGGCGCCCTTCTGGCAGTAATGGATCCCCGAATACTCAGATGGCAGCTCGCGCTCCTATCCCAAAGTGGTTTATACTCACTTCAATGCCATCACCATGCGCGATGATTCGAGACTGGATATTATCAGTCTTATCGTTGCCAAAGTGAAGCGACCACTCCGAAAGTTGTTGGATTCGGACGAATCCAACAACTTATTTCGTGCATCCTGTTTGTCCCCACTCCCATCCACTGTCACGGTTCGAGAAGGTCCAGGTGACATCGTTGTCAAACTTAAACAAAACGCGTTCCTCGTAAAACAGTGGTTTTATCTACACCTTCGACGGTTCCAGAGTAATGACGAATTTTTGGTGTACCGGGAACGGTGACAACTGAGGGCTTTGCGTAGGCTTTGGTTACCTTAAAGTCCTCACGGAGGGCAATGGCAAATGCCTCCTTCAATGTGGCAGTCTCCGCGCGCTCGAGCGATGAGCGGGTCTGTCCCTCACGCATACCATCTTCAAAGACTACCACCTGCGTATACATGTCCATGGGGTGTGTGATGATGCACGTAATCGCGCACCGCCATTTTACATGTTGCATAAACAGGAATTTTGAGCATACCAATTCTCCTCTTGCGGTGGCTCAAAGGCAACCAAAGATCGTCCCGGATTGTATCTAGGGTGGGGAATGCGTGCTCGTCCACAACGAGCTTATTAAGGAACCGTTCCTTTGCTTTACCGGTGAGACTGGAAAGGAGGAGGTTTACCTTTGCCTAAAGCGCCTCGAGAAGCCTCGAGGCGATGGCGATGTCGACTTTTCGGAACCATCGATTCTGCGAAAATCGATTTTACCTTCTCCTAAATAGGATGAGGTTTTTATCTTCACGAAATCGTTCCGTGAAGGTCGTGAGAGAATTAAGCCTCGACGATTGGATTCGGCGATCTCGCGGTCATAAACTCGTGCGTTGTCCATCAGGGGTCGATGATATCATCAGCGACGTCTCCCGACATCGCAGCGAGGCGATTAAAGGCATATCACTCAACACCAGTGATATGGGCAAAGGTTGCTGCTCCAAAGATAAATTTATAGCGTCAAAGTACGACGATTCTCTCATCCCAAACTCGGGAATGGGAAGGACCGATAAATGTTACCAGGTGTAACGATGGTAAACCGTAATCTCACTAGCTCACACGTGCAATTTTTTTAAAAAGAATCAAGCCCAAGTATTAGGTATCCAGTAAATGAAACTATAATTTTATTATTTTACGGTCGTACTAATAACGAAGATCTTTGTGTCGTAATAACTACGACAGTGTACCCACCTTTCGGAAACTACTCATTCTCAGGTTAGTTTATCACTGGTCCATATCTGGACTTTAGGCCCCAATAATAAACCAATGATATTTTGCCAGGCTGAGCCCGCTATTTGGGCACAGTACCTTCATACAGATGTAATTGTTTATTTCTGTTAGTAGTATATATGCAATGCGGCCCATTACAAGTATCGTGTGACCAGGTAATGGCCGTTGCCGAAGGAACAAGTCGATTACATCGACGACTTCTTCGACAAGCGAGCCAAGGCATGTACGTAAAAGCAAGTCGCCTCACTGCAGCCCGACCTTCTGTGTGTGTAAAGCAACAGGTGGATGGCACGTGGATCATGCTTATAACTAGCTGAACACGGCCACCAATCCGGCGCAAACGCCGATCCTGCGGAAAGATGTTTTGTTGAACTCCATGGGAAAGTCAATTATCTGTTCCGCGTTGGATCTGAAGGATGGCTACTATCAGGTTCTCATGAGAGATACCGATGTAGCCAAAAGGGCAGTAAGCACCCCAAGCGGTATGCTGTGGGAGTGGCTTGTAATGCCACAAGGGTTGAAATATGCTCCAGCAACATTCAGCCGAGTGTTGGCTCACGTGTTGCGTCAGCACCGTGCCTACGCACCCCATTACTTTGGCGACGTGTCGTGCATAGTAGGGCGGAGGACGGTCTGAGCGCAATAGAGTCGCACAAGCGTCATTTAGACGCTGTGTTACAGAATCTGGGTGACGCCCAATTATACGTGAGCTTGCAAAAGTGCGTAATAGGGGTCCCCGAGATACCTGTATTGGGCTGCATCGTATGGTCAGCGACCCAGAAAGGTAAAGGCTATTAAGAAATGGCCAGTCCCACGACACGTGAAGGATATGCGCTAGTTCCTCGGCTCGCTAATTACTTGCATAAGTAAAGCATGAATTATGCGGAGCGAACTAGCCATTGTCTGACCTTTTAAAAAAGGATGCAGAATAGACTTGGTCAAAGAAGCAAGTCGATGCGTTCACATCAGTGAATCAATCATTTGTAGAGGCACCGGTCTTGGCATTGCTAGACGTGGATAAGCCCTTTAGCGTCGTCTGCGATGCAAGCATTTTGCAATCGGCAGCGCGCTCATGCAGAAGGATGACAGCGCCATTTAACGTGTCATTTTGTATCAGTCTCGGCTTTTGGAAGCTGCCGAGCTGAATTACCCTGTGCATGACAAGGAGCTACTTTCAATTAAGTATGCCCTTGTAAAGTTTCGGGCGCACCTCTTGGGCACCAAAACTTCTTGTGGTTTATACGGATCACGCATCACTGCGGACCGCTACGAATTCAGAACAAGTTGAGTCCTCAACATTGGCAGTCATGAAGGTCTACCATGTGACGAGGTCAATGGCCTCCGATATATAGGAGTGCTAAAGTCAGGACGAACATTGTCGCTTCCAGGAGCGACGGCGCGTGTCGTGGGGTTTAGTCCCCCATCGCTGTTGTCGAGCGGACTTGTGCGATCGCCGAAGCATTGACGCGTGGCGGGAACGCTGCCAGTCGTAGTACCGGAGTATCTTCACCTAGTCTGCTGTCCGCACGACCAGTGGCCACGCGAGATGCATGGGCTCTGTGAGGGAGGATTTCCGCCGAAGGTGGGTGACTGTGATGTGGGGCCGAGGCTAGGACTTTGACCGCAAAAATTTAAGAATATTGAAGAAGCATGTTGTAGTGTTGACAAACGGGAGTAGTAAACGCTATATATATTTTGCGTTTACATTTACCTCGATTGCATTAAATGCATCACGTCTCATTTCTACATGTGATTAGTCTGAGATAGCTAGAGGTTGATTATTTTCACTTGTAAATTGACAAAGCCACTGACGATATCAGTTTATTGATTAGCCGATTAGTCTCCTTTAGAGGCAATACAAATTCTAAGTAATCGCCGTCACTAAACGGGTACCGTCCACAATGGTAGTTACGCGACTGTATCGAAAGAGGATGCAGCCATCTCAACACTTTGTTCGCTCTATATCCATTCTATCCACGTCTCCTCCATCTGCTTTATCAATACAAGGCTCTGAATCGCCATCCAATCCTTCTAATCCCGGCTCATTCAAGACTCTCGCACGTACATTTTCAGCCATTGAGGTGGGTCCTCTGGATCTCTTTATATGTGAATTAGGACATCCTAACGCTATTTTATATGCATCAGGAAGTGAAAAACTCACGTGTAGCCAGTGTACAACTGCTGGCCAATGGGTATCGCCAACTCCTGGCCCTTCCGACGTCTCAGGAGCTGGCGAGTGCCTTGTACCTCACGGCATCGCAGCTGGCGCCGTCATATGAAGGCGTGGAGCTTCAATTTGGAGCTAAGAGGTTCGTTAACTTTTTGAAGCAATTGGATGTGCAGCGGGAAGAAGATTCGACGATGGAGAAGTTGTTGGCGATGTATCCGGACTACGGACAGGCTACTCAAGCTTTGCTGGACAGTGGACGTATTGTAATCCCAGTGCTAGGAGAAAACGAAACGCTGCTGAGTATCCAGACGGTGTATGAACACTTGATGACAATTGCAAAGGATGAAGGAGCTGGTGGAGTTGCTAGAAAGCAGCAACTGGCACTGAGACTACTTCAGAGATGCAGGTGAGAACGGCTTTTAACGAAAGGATTGGACTGAGAGCGACGTCTTGATACGTAAATTTCTGGTGTGGCATGTAGGTGCACCGAAGAACGAGTTTTTCTGGTTCGAATGCTAGCGGTGCGTAACTTCTCGACCATTTGTGACTTGCCGGGAATATCAGTCTAAACGAAGATGTGTATAGCATCAAAATCTGCGCATTGGAATGGGTGAAAAGTCGATTCTTTCGGCACTTGCAATGGCCAGCGCTCCGTCAATTGGAGAAAGTACTCAAAGCCAAGACGTTACTGCACTCTTTGCTAAAGACAAGAGTTGGGTGGACTGCGTGACACTGGCATACGCTCAACATCCCAACTACCGTGTTCTGGCCAAACTACTGCATGCCAGTCAGCACATCAATGATATAGGGCGAAGGATTGAATGGATGCACAACAAAGCTCGCCCCGTGACGGGTGTACCAGTGCTGACAATGTCTGCTTACCCCGTATCCAGCGTCGCGGCGGTTTTGGACCGTATCGGCAAGTCAACCAGTCGCACAGCCACCTGCGAATACAAATACGATGGTGCTCGTGTTCAGGTGCACTTGTCAATGCCAGACAACAGCAACAGCACATACTCTATTAGACGCATTTTTAGCCGTAATATGGAGGACGTCACTGAGCGATTTTCGTCCTTGTTGAACGTGTTGGAAAAGCGCGTGACAGCTCGCAACTCAAGTGCACAAGGGTCAACCTATGGGAGATCATTGATTGTGGAGGGAGAAGTCGTTGCGCTGGACCGGCAGTCCGGAACATTTCGTCCATTCCAAGTGCTGCAGACGAAAACTACGACTGAGTTCTGTCTGTTTTTATTCGATCTGCTCGCTGTCAATGGCACTAATCTTCTTCAGGTACACAATGAAAGGATTTTGCTGTGGAGTTGTGTCCTGTCATTCTGACTTGTTTATAATTTGCTTGACGAACATCTTCTGTTGCAGAAACCTCTTCGTAAGCGACGAGCCTTATTGCACAATCTGCTTGAGGAAGAATCTGGATACGTCGAGTTTGTGAAGCACGTCGATATTAGCTTGGCATTTTGTGAAAGTGTGCCTATTGAAGAGGATGCTACCAAAAGGGTGGATGCCGAAACAACTCATGTAGCAACCCTTGTACGGAATTGTCTCGAAAAAGCAGTGGCCTCTGGGTGTGAGGGATTAATGGTCAAGGCACTAGACGACACAGACTCTGAGTATAAAGCCGGTCGCCGATCGTTTTCTTGGATGAAACTCAAGCACGACTACTTGTTGGACGAGCCCACTACAACAAGCCAAAGGAAATCTGGTAGAGGAAATGGAACATTTCTCGGCGATACGCTGGATCTGGTTCCCATTGGCGCATTTTATGGCAAGGGCCGGCGTGCAGGAGTGTATGGATCGTTCCTCATGGCAACGTACAGCACCAGAAGCGGCAAATTCGAGGTATCAATATTCAAAGTTGCAAAGAGCCATGCCCTATGCTAATTGGTTTTCATGCTCTACTTTACTATGCCTTCTGTAGACTATCGGGAAGGTAGGAACGGGCTTTACTGACGCACACCTTACGGAAGTCGCAGCACGTCTTCAGAAACAAGTTTTACCTGCAACGAATGACGTGCCAGAGCAATATCAATGCTACAGCACTCGAAGTCGCCATCCTGATGTTTGGCTCTCGCCGACGGAAGTGTGGGAGATCAAAGCCACTCAGCTGACGAAATCTCCTTCATACACGTGCGGCGCTGTCGACTCGGCTGGCGTTGCGGCTGCATCAACTCCTCGAAAAGGACTAGCGCTTCGATTTCCTCGATTTGTTCGGTATCGACCCGATAAGAAACCTTTGCAAGCAACGGAAAGTGAACAAGTCGTAGAGCTCTACCGACAGCAGCAACAAAAAGTTCCTCACTAGACGATTTAGTACTACAAAAAAAACAAGGAAATATCGATGATGTTAATTTTGCTATCAAGTTTCTCACTAGCTAGACAAATTGGGTTGACGGTGTGACCTTCTAGCCACGGCTTGTCGAGCATGTACTTCATAAGCTTCTAATACAGTTCATTCACAGGCACCAGCCCGATAGTGGCCGGTGGTCGGCATACCGATCCACACCCTTGAAAGAAAGTGAATCAAGTGCTCGTCCTGGTGGAGCTGTACGCCAACGTACAGCTCCCGTGCTACCGATGAATACTTGACTCTAGCGACATGCCACTGTAATCGAAGCCATTCTGCGAGCCGATAAGGCTGTAGATGTCCAGCAACATTCAAGTGATGTACATGAATGCCAGATCGCGACTTGATCGAGCTCCTTCACTGCTCCGTCCGTCGATGTAGGGCGGCACGAATTGAACATTTAGTCGTCCACAGAGACACGAGAGAGATGGCGCCGCTTTGCCAGCTCCTTGATGTATGCCTCAATGACCCCACGGGATGCAGAGCTGACGATTAATCGCGTGGTCTTCGGCCCTGAACGTTTTCGAGTCTATCATCGTTCCTTCGGCGCCTTGTCCCGTAGCGTTTGCTGCGTGCTCAGAAAGTGGTAAAATATTGAGGAGTGTTTCCAGGGCTTATGAACCAGCCACGCGCCGCACAAATTGGCACCTAAGAGCGCCACGTGTATTTCGCTGGAGCACGTTTGGCTCTCGTCAATAAGCCAAATATTCTCCACAAAGTTGATGTGATTGCTGGTCGTAGCACTACGCTTCATTCTTCGGTAGCAAGACTAGCTTCGGGTTGTTGTCGTCCGGCTGATGTACATCCTTGCAGTTCTGTTCACCGAGCCTACTTTGTATACACTCGCTGGCTCATGATGATTACTTTGTCCTCCCGCTTGCGGTAGATCTCAATATCCACGTAGTACTTCATCTCATCAAGTTCCTTGAAGGTAAACTCGCCCTTTAGTGCTCGCTTAATCTACCCAATCTGGGCCTTTTGGTCCTGCTAAGCAGCATTAGGTCGTCAACGTAGATATCATGTCTTTTTCGTGAGCTGTGCGTCAAATATACGCATCATGGTTACATCGCAGTAACATGGAATCCTTGTTTCTCCAGATGCAAATTTTGCGTGATACCCCACTTCTTGGTTTCGTAAAGCACCTTCTTTGAGTCTTGATCGGGGCGGACCGAAACAAATCGGTTCGGCTGGTCCTGTAGATCTTCTTCACTTCGCCGCACAGGAAGTGTCGACGTCGACACGTCGACGTTATCCATTCTTCCATCAATATTCTACTGGTAACGGAAAACGATGCCACAACAGTGTTGATCGGCTCCTTGCATGATAGTGGAGCAAATGCCTCGGCTTACTCAATGACTGGCCCTTACTCACATTACAGCCACATCACTCGAGGATTCACAGGACGTTGAATATTTGATTTCGCCCTCTATTGCACGCAGCCAGTCGTCCTTGTAGCCGCTTGCTTCCGCTCTTCCGTGATTTATTAAATAGATTTTTTGTGATGAAAAATTAATTTGAGCAACTAATGCTTTTCTTAATTTTAATAATTAAATATATATACGATAAAATATGGTTATAACCTTTTCAGATACGGATATAGTAGTACTATTTAGTAGCTTATCATGTATTCATTAATACTCAATAATGTTAACGCGTTAACTAAACTTAATGTTGAGATAAAGTACTGGGTCCAGAAACAACAAACGAGGTTATTCGGCTGTTAGTTGTTTTGTTGAATAAGTTTTTGCAGTAGGAAGACGATAAGATTCTGTCTATTGATTGCTTTGTCTTTTTGTTTACCTGTCTCCTAGCCACTCTTTCTCCAAACACTCTGTGCTCCAACTATCTCGATATAGATGGTTGCTAGTCAAACTGGGAAAGACCAACAAATTTCATCGGTTTATATATGTAAAGTTTAAACGGATGCATCAATGTTTGTTGGCTACTGATGATTTTGAGCCCATCGCCGCGTTTATCTAGTGTTTTAAGTAAACGTTTTGATATTCTAATAAGAATTTATCGTAACTAAAAATTAAATTACCTTTCGATCACAAAAGCTGATACGCTCGTTTTGTTTACAAGAATTGCAAAGTTTTCCCGACGACTTTTTAGGTGCGATTAATATCTTCTAATACTACCGCAAAAACACGATACATACTATTTTATACACAGTTTGTTTTCGTGCAACATTTGACTCGTAACCCCAACCCTATGTGGTTTCCGCACTTTTTCCAGTATAATAAGTCTTCCTCCTCTTCGTCACACGATTAATACTTAAATAACTAATATTAATAGTGTGACAATACTTAAAGACCCAATACGAGGTCGTCAATCTCGCCCTTTCATCGCCAAGTCCCTGGCAGTGCCACACACGTGGTCAAACGAGACCACTGCCTTTTGTTACGAAACAGCTGTTGCAATAAATGCCCCATGGCTTATCGCCTAATAAGCGAAGGCGGAAGAAATCACGACCGTCGCCTCCTCTAATACCTCTAAATTCACGTAATAATAACTTTCCTACAGGCTCATCCGAGTCGTCGATTGTATCGGAATTACCTGTGGTTTTGGACATGTCGATTCATCGAATTAACAGCACCACAAGCGAGATAACGAGCTCTATTGATACAAACGTCAGTAGTTTCAATAGTGGCATCAAATGGTGGAAGCGATTGACTACCATGAAGTTAAAAAGACGACGAAGGCAGAGGAATGAAGACCGATCGAGCCTTGACCAGGAGATGTACGTACGCAGCATTCTCGAGTCCTACGGGTCGTCCATGAGCTCTAAAACGAGACATTCAGCTAATAATTTGCAGGTCTCGACGGATGGAAAAAGCATTATTAACAGCAAACAAAGGAGTAAACAAGTGTCAAAAAGACGACGAAAGGAGAAAGATAAGGAGAAGATGCCGCGATTGTTACGAGGGACAAGTACCAGTCAAATAGTAGCAGCTGCAGGCATAGACAGGACAAGCGAAAAAGACTCAGACTTGCCTACGTACATGGCACACTTTACGCCAAATGGAGATACAGCACAGGACGAGCATTGCGTGGATATGGACAATCAAGTTCGCTCGCATCTGGGAGTGGCGGGACATAGCAGCGGCTCTAGCCCAAGACCGTATCACGACGAACTGGATGACGGGCCATTTGCCCCTAGCTCTGTGAGTGATGAGGAAGACAGGAACAGGAGAAGGTTACAGAGACGCATGAAAATCGAAGCCATGCGTGCTAGATTGTTAGCGAAAAGTCAGCACCGAGCAAGAACTCGCAGAAAAATGGGCATCTTCATTGTGTGCATGGGCGTCACGCTCACCGTCTTCGTAGCTGCAGCAATATTAGTTGCCCATGTAGGCGTGGAGATTCAGAGCAGCTGGTTTGGCAGTACTACGAACACAACTTTGAACAGCAGGAAGGATGAAGGTGAAAGTACAATGAAGACCGCTTCCGGCAGGTTAGGGTCGGAGGCAGATTCTTTGCGCTTGACCCGTTCTGGTACGACAGTGCTTGACGATTTAGCATCGCGAGCTGGTTTAGATGATGATGCACCGTGGTCGTCGTCTGGATTAAACGATAGAGACAGTGTGTTTTGCGACGCGTTCACGTATATTCACTGCATCCTGATGGTGTTGTCGCTATGGATGTCTCTCGTAGTTGTGATCATGCACGTAACTTTCCGAAGTTTTCGAACGTACTCGCACCCATTCATGTTGGAATTGAGTTGTGTACAGTGCGGATACTGGCTAACATCTCTGCTCCGTGTGATACTCGAGACGTTGGCGTTGTCCAACCTGGCCTATCTTTCCTTTTGTATGTTCGAGTGTTTTTTCGACTTTGCTCAAATCTCGTTCACATGCGCCATCGCGTTCAACATGTATCGATCTGTGGTGTCATACGCGGACGTGCTGATGGACACTCAGAGCGCTACGCGTCGATATCACAGGTACACGATGAATGTGTTACTTCTGTCGGTAATGGCAGCAGTGGCACTGGCGCTAGTGGGTTACCGGTCTAAGAACACGTATGATTATCACGCAGAGAATATTCTGAACGAGGATATCTTTTCACCGTGCCTCTACCCGACTTGCCGACTCATCTTGTACGTGTACTACCCACTATTGGCTTTCGGCTTCAATTTCATTTTCTACGTGCGTTTTAAACGTACAATCGGTAAATCGTACCCGACATCAGCGACCAGCAGGCTAAATAAGGTGGTGCGATCGTACCTGATTGTCTTCTTTGTGTGCTGGGGAAGTCTCATCATTTTAACAGCGCTAAAGGTTGTAGACTTGGTAAATGTTCCTATTATGGCATCATTCGTGATGCAGTCGATATTTGACATCTTGGGTGTTTGCACTGCCGTGATCACCTTTACGAACTTTCATCGGTGTAGGGAGGCGTTCGATTTTGGATTGTCGCTAAAAGCCATTGATCCAAATAGTATCGAGTTTGACGACCCGGTAAATATTATTGGTGAAGGCACGTTTGCCATCGTGCTAAAGGGAAGGTGGCGGCAAGGAGGACATATCGACAGCTCTGTGCCACGGTCGGTAGAGGTAGCTGTGAAGGCATTCAAGCACGCACAGATGGAATGCTTGGAGCACATTAAGGAGGAGGCATATCTGTCGTCAAAGTTGGTGCACCCATGTGTGATGATGACCTATGGTTGTTACACTAGCGGCATCAATCTCTACATTGTGTACGAGTATCTTGGCGGAGGTACGCTTCAAGACGCGATCGATGCCAACCAAAAGACGCCATTTACGTACGAGCGAGGGTTGCGTTATGCGCACATGATTGCTGTGGGCATGCGCTTTTTGCATGGCCTGCCGGTGCCTATTGTGCATCGTGATCTCAAGCCGCTGAATTGTATTTTTGATTCAGAACAGGAAATACTGAAGGTTGCCGATTTCGGCGAATCTCGGTTGCTGCGTACTCGTGACGTCGTGGCTCCTCGGCCTAGTTCTTTTCCCTCGCCCGACGTCACAATTCAAATGACGACCAACATCGGAAGTGCGTGTTGGGCTGCGCCCGAGGTGTTAAAGGACGTGGCCACGTCGGAGTATTCTGTGAAGATCGACGTTTACAGCTTCGGTATCATTTGCTGGCAGTTGTATACTTGTGCTGTGCCGTATGCCGACATCCCTGGAAGTGTTCTGGCAGTAGCTGAGGCAGTGCTAAGTGGAGTGCGACCGGCAATTCCGCGAGAATGCCCTCGTTTATTTACCAAAATTATGAGGCGCTGCTGGCACAATGATCCATTACGACGTCCAAGCTTCGAGGACATCGTGCAGCTGCTGGAGATCGAGCTTACGGAGGAGCGGCGTCGGCAGGTGATGCGTGCTCATGGCAGGGGCACTGACCCGGTTATTGAACAACCCACTCATGACAGCGATTTTGACGGTACAGGTCGTACCAACATAGCACTAGTGAGCGATGAAGAGCGTGTGAATAGAGAGGTGTGCTCGCCTCGATCAATAAACATATAATGTAGTGAATAATGTAATCTTAACGACTTGTCAGTTCAAGCAAATTGTTATCACTTACCAACTTCTAGTACCTCAGTGTTAGCTAAGGTTAAATGATACCCAGCACACGTAGGCGGCTCTCATACTCCGTTTGGCCAATGTAACAACCGATGAGAGCGCGGTCACCACCTTGAAATGCGTAGCGACCGTGCAATACGCGCTGGTTGTCTACGACCATCATGTCGCCGACCTGAAGCTTTGTGCAGAACTCCATCTCCGGTCGACGCATAATATCGAGGAGTATGCGGTGCGCCTTGTAGAACTTACCCACCTCAACGAAGTTTAGGTGTGTCAGCGGTGCACGGTCATAATCGTTGTGGCGAAACTGCACGATGTTACCAGCGTAGTCAACGCGGATCATCGGCTCCATGCTAGCCAGATGGGCGTCATTATCCACAGCGAAGAAGGGCAAAACCGTCGTACTCAGCACACGAAAAGCCTCCGGATCCTCGTTCTTCAGCGTTTCAGTAACGTAAAAAGAATCCACATAGCGGCTCTCACCGCCATCACCTGCTTGAGCCGCACAATTGAAAATCTGCAGTCCTGGTGGTTCACGAATGTACGTGCCGTCCGTGTGGTTAGGCAGCTCCAGGTTCGTAGACGCCGTGTCATTATAGCCCTCTTCCTCGTTCGTCGGGTTCGTCGTCCACATGGTCCCGTAAATTGTGCGCTGTACAAAACCAATCTTCTTGGCAAACTTTTCGGTCGCCTCCATCGAATTGGGTGTACCTGACACATGAACGAGACCGTAGGTGTACAGGCTACGCATGAGTGGCTCGATATTGTCTAGACTCTTATAGTACTTGTGTGTCGGCAACTTAAAGTCCTTGCCGGCCCATAGCTCTTTCGTAGTCAGACGCGGCTGACGGTACGATTTTGGGTACGGTCCCGCGACCGGGTCCTTTGCATTGCCTCTTACCAATGCGTACGCGTGATTGCGTAGCCATGCAGCATCAAACTCACTGGCTGTACACGAAGAGCCAAGTACTGGTGTATTCCAATTAATGGCTACAGTTGCACCGGCATTCTTGACTTCGAGACGGTTAAACGGTGAGTCCATTGGGATAGTCGCCGTGTTTATCTGACGTTGAAGTGTCTCGGGGTGCATGCAGTGCTTGCAACGGCAGTGATCACGAAGCCAGAGATTGTGGAACTTTGCGGTCGCACCGTCTTCAAAGGTGATGGACACCGCTTGTTCATTGGCGAGCTCTGATACTTTAGTGACGCATTCTTCGGTTAAAAGGTTATCGACTTGTGCCGATGCAAATCCACGAGCACTCCACAACCTCATGATGTGGCTGGAGACGGTGGAATGTGAGAGCAATCGGCTGCGTAACGAACGGATCACTTGAAGACGCATTTTTTTAGCACAAGAGACTGAAACGTTGGTTTTGACGAGACTTTCTTTCAGTGGAATAAACTCAAGACTGACTGACTGATGGACAACGCAAAAACATGCGTTACGTAACGCCAAGTGGCGACAAGAACACGACGATGATTGGCTCGGCTTATGAATCTGACAGCAACTGACATTGTAAAAGTAACTGTCGAATGTAGACGATTCTACTTGCGCATACTGATAACTTCTTTCAACTGGTAAATACTTTCGGTCTCCAACGACCCCATACACTAAAACAGGCCGATAGTAGTGCTTCTGTACCTGTAATCTTGGTATGTGCCTACGGCCTCAAGGGTCATCCGTTTTGTAAGTTTTTCTGTAGTCGTATTCAAGTTATAAATGTAACTTTGAGTATATGTGTAACCTCACCATGAGCAATGTCAGGAAGTCCTGGCGCAATTGTCGTCTCTTCGAGACAATGCCATCGTTCAGCCATACTATATCAGAAATTTACATGTATCACCGTACGACATCGCCTATACACGGCGCGTACATTACATTACTGATAATGAAGGATGTTAGACATTATGGCGTCGTAATATTTATTTTCACACATCGTTGTCAAAAGAATGTGTTTATTCTGATCGACAAAACAGCATATTACCGTAGCGCTTGGCGGTATCATAGACTTCAGAAAGGTTGTTGAACAATAATCGAACATACCAGCCCTGAATTGTTGGAAACATGGACTATCGTGTGGTGACAGGAAAGGAAAACTGGAATTGCGATTAGCGCCAGCCGTTCTTCCATCACGCATGGTCAATGCAAGTAGTAAGCATGTCAGTTGAGTATCAACCAGACATTAAGGATGGTTAAAGCAGAGAGCACTAGGAGACAGAGTAGCTAGAACGCAGAATCTAATCATCTACTTCATTGCAATATCTATTTGCCAACAGGTTATAAGCCCAAGATTACGCGCGCGCCACCAGGTATGGGTAGTGCTGCTGCACAAGTGTGAAACGAAAGATCGCTTGACACTGGACTAAGCAGAGGAGATGATCGGTGCGATTGAGACAGTTTGTGCTTAGGGTAAGCGCACACACGGAGGATGGAGCACCAAGCAAGCTATGTAACAGGGTATCTAGTTACACGTAAACATTAAGTAATATACTTAATGTTTGGTCTAAAAGTAACCATGATTACTTTTGACATGTCACTTGGGTGCGATACACAAATGTGATCCACCCTCGTGAATGTGATATCCATTTATGGATTCACATGAGAAGGGATGACGCTAGTTGAAGCTAGGCATCGCGACGTCTCAGAAGGACGTCAGTTGCGATCTTAAATCTAGATTTAAGTTCATGCGACAGGATACGCTTCTAAAGAGTCGCGTATCCGATCTATATATATACATATATATATATATATATATATATATAGCCAATCAGTAGTTAAGTATATATTTAGTTATAATTAATTAAATATAGCTCAGTCTTGAATTTGCTTAAACATACGCACCACGCACGAGAAGTTGAAAAGCTTCTGCGTGACGTCGGTGCCTTCTTGTTTAGAAGTTCGTTGCACTCTCGCTTAAGCGAGAGGCAACTGGTGGCACGACTGCTTAAGCAGTCGACCAACCTCCTAACCACCCTCGCACACGAAGGTAAGACGGTCTAACCGCTTCCTCGCTTGTGCATAAGTTGTGTGCTCGTAGTACGAGGCAACTTCGTAGAAGTGCCCGTTTACACTTGGTAGCACTTGTAGTCCTTCCCACAACCCGTCTTTCTGAGCGTGAATGTGGTTAAGATGGTCCTTAATATGGACTGAAGTTGACTTCCCTCACCTCTCCCAACATCATATGGAGTTGGCAGAGCATTTGGCGTAGGGACTTGGTGAACAAGCCCTGGTCAACCTCTTGCATTGTCCTCCTGAGCAACATGTTGCTCAGTTGGAGCAATTTGAGGCGTTGGTGCTCGGACAGCGTAGAAACGCGTCCGAGGTAAACAGCCAAGCCACCACTGAGTCCATCACTAAGACTCAGGATGAGCTTAGGCTTGAGCAGGCACGGTAATGAGGCGCTCAACAGAAATGTTGAGAAGCTCTCTGTCCGACCTGCTCAACCGAGGCCCATCCGGATGGACCCTCCGAAATTCGATGGAACTAGCCCTCACACGATTGTTCACTGGCTATTAGCAGTGGAGCAATGTGGAGTGGCGCAGCTCATCGAAGACGACACCAGAATGGTGTCGTATGCCATGTCCAACTTGCGTGGCAAAGCGTCAGAGTAGGCATACTCTGCGCTGATGGCTAATGCTGATGCATTTCCATCATGGGCGATCTTTGTGGCAAAGATTCGCTCCATGTATCAACCGCCTAACAACGAAGTGTTGCTTATGGCGCGCTTCTTTGGAGCACGACAGGCGAAACGCTCTCTGCAAGAATTTGTGCAGGAGATGCGTTCGCTGTCGGCGTCCATTAATGGGAAACCGATACCAGAGCGTATCAAGGTAGCCACGTTCATGAATGGACTTAGGCACGGCCCATCGCGTCAGGCCCTTTTCAGAAAGGTGCCAGCGACGATGGAAGAGGCAATAGACATTGCCTTAGTTAAGGAGCAATCCTACAACAGCTCCTCGGCGACAGCCTATTACAGGCCGTCGTCCGAGAAGTCTGATGCCACTCCTATGGAGTTAGGCAATGCAGATGTGATCTACTACAAGTGCGTCAAGCGAGGCCATATGATGGCTCGCTGCTATGCCAAGGTAGCTGCTGGTGCTAAGGCAGCCAGCAAAAGGTCTCCCAACCCGAAGGGAGGTGCGAAAAACCAGCGTGCACGACGCACGGGTTCAGTACCTGCCCAAGATGGGAAGGGAAATGCGGGAGCGCAGTAGGGGCGGGATGCCCTACTGTCGTGGACTCTAAAGCTACCCCTAAGTTCAGAGTGATCGAACAAATGGGTAGCATAGTCCCTGAGGTTCCGAAAGGCCGGACCTCAACCCTTTTGGTCTATAGCGATCGAGTACCAAGTGATGACCCTTCTTGTGGATTCAGGCGCATCACAGAAGTTTGTGAAACTCGCGGATCTGAAGAAGAGACCGTCGAGTTATGAGTCGCTTTGCCAGGATGGCAAGCGAGAAGAGGTGATCGTTTGTTTAGCGAACGGCGCGCTCGTTAAATCGGAGGGAGTTTAAGTTGAACTCGCCTTCAGTTTCAGTGACTTCTCTTGTAAAGAGAAGTTCACAGTGCTAGGTATGGAGAGCCCGTATGACCTCATCCTAGGCATGACTTGGTTGGCTAAACACCAACCATGGATAGACTGGCGTACACGCACAGTGCTAGCTCTACGCAAGACACCGGAAAGGATGTGCTCCTGCGAGTGGCTTATGTGACTGATTCTGTGTCCAACACAGTCGAGGGTGCGATGACGGTATGTCAATCGACACCAGGAACTACCCAGCTCGAAAAGAGTGGTGTAGTTGGAAGTGCACTGGCGGAAAGCCAGGTGACACATATTCCTACCCAGGTCGAAAAGACTGGTGTAGCGAATGGGACGATGACAGGTAGTCATGCGTCCAATAGTCCTGCACAGAGCCGAGAGCCTGTGGAAGTTTATGGTGGGCTGACAGGAAGTCAAGCGCCACAAGAACCGGCAGCCTGGTGCGGTTGGAAGGAGTGCGTTAGCTGAGATAGCAACGACACCTTCCTCCAGGTCAAAGGTCGTGGTGACTCGAAGAACGAGCACCAGACGTATTAAGACGATCAAGGGAACGTCGAAACGAGTGACCCTTGGATCAGTCTCGGTCCAAGAGGACGGACCTACGAACGAGTTGTTCGAGTCCGTCGAAGACAAAATGCCGGAGGCATCCTCAGTTGAGGTGCTCCAACTTGTCTTGGCATCTGCCGAGGAGATAGTAAATCTCTCGGAGATGACGTGGGATCTGTTCCTGTTCGAACTAAAGGAAGGAAAGATCCACGAGATAGTCGCACCAGTTCCAGAAGAGAACGTGGTGGACTGTTGCTCTTCATCCACAATGGATGAGAGCGTCTTGGAGACCGACAAAAAGAAACGGTTCGCTGCTCAAGGCTGGGATGCCTTGAAGGACAGCCCGTTCTATGATGTTCTGTGGAAACACCGTGATGTGTTTCCAGCAGAAGTGCCGAGCCGCCTACCGGCCGATAGGGGCATCAGGCACGAGATTGACCTGGAGCCTGGCACCAAGTATTGTGTGACCAGGCAATAGCCGTTGCCGAAGGAACAAGTCGATTACATCGATGAGTTCTTCGACAAGCGAGCTAAGGCGGGACATGTACGTGAGAGCAAGTCGCCTCACTGCAGCCCGACCTTCTGTGTGCGTAAAGCAACAGGTGGATGGCGCGTGGTTCACGCTTATAACTAGCTGAACACGGCCACCATTCCGGCTCAAACGCCGATCCCGCGGAAAGATGTTTTGTTGAATTCCATGGGAAAGTCAACTATCTATTCCGCGTTGGATCTGAAGGATGGCTACTATCAGGTTCTCATAAGAGATACCGATGTAGCCAAAACGGCAGTAAGCACCCCAAGCGGTATGCTGTGGGAGTGGCTTGTGATGCCACAAGGGTTGAAAAAAACTCCGGCAACATTCAACCGAGTGGTGGCTCACGTGATGCGTCAGCACCGTGCCTACGCGCCCCATTACTTTGACGATGTATTCGTGCATAGTAGGGCCGAGGACGGTCTGAGCGCGATAGAGTCGCACAAGCGTCATTTAGACGCTGTGTTGCAGACTCTGGGTGACGCCCAATTATACGTGAACTTGCAAAAGTGCTTAATAGGGGTCCCCGAGATACCTGTGCTGGTCTGCATCGTTGGTACACATGGTGTACGAGCAGACCCAGAAAAGGTAAAGTCTGTAAAGGAATGGCCAGTCCCACGACACGTGAGGGATCTGCGCCAATTCCTTGGGCTT